ATTTTCTTGATTTAGTCTTTCTATTCCTTGAATACCCCTTTGACTACGTGTGCATGTTAATTGTTTAAATTCCGTGTGGTGATTATCATAAGTCCCATTGTTCAGTTTGCTTGAGGACAAGCAAAAGCTTAAGTATGGGGGAATCTGATAAGTGGTTGAAAGTACGAGTATCCTCTCCACAGGGACAGACAAAAGGGAATTAAAGATTAACTAAATTCAACGATTAAAAAGAAATAAAATAAAATAAAATGCAATTGTGCGAGATTGGATGGTTTGGAAAATAAATTAATGCGAATGAGTGAATACAAATAATTGATTGGGTTCTTCTTAATTAATGATGAAAGGAATATGGATTGATTCCGGGGTAATCAGATTTCTGGCAGATGAGCCTTAATTACATGAAATTAATTTAATTGAGCCTAGCTAATCAATACTAAGTTCTTACCGCTCTCGCGGCGTAGAGTACAATAATTTAGGGGACCATGCTGATCTCTCATTCGACACGATCCTAAATTATTCCAAAAAGAGCGAGCTTACGTCCCCTTAATCGCTACTAATATTTTAGCGAGCGATTAAGTTTGTGTGAATGTGTCTCAGAATAAATTAGATCTCTCTTAATTTATTCTACAAGCAATTGTAAGTCTAGCCGCGGTTCCAGGTTACAAAAGATAGCAATTAAATTGTTCAACAATAATTAAACGACATTCATGCAATTAATCCATCCAGAAACTAGCCATACGTCGTGATTAACCCCTTCATCAATCCCAAATCCCAAATTAAAACTACTCCCTACTCGTAATTGAAGAATCAATAGAATTGGGAAGAATAGAAATAATTGTCATTAATTAAAAAGAATTAACTTACAAATAATCTCAAGATCTTGAGCAAAATAGCGGAAAAACTACTCTAAACTCATGTCTAGGCCTCTCCGTAATGTCTATACCCCTTAAAAGGGGGTATGGAGACCTTATTTATAGAAAAGGGGGGAAAATACGAATTCTGGTCGAACTAGGACAATTTTTCGCGTAACACGGGGGCTTTTCACTGTTTCTCTAGTCCTGTTTTTCACCGTTTCTATAGTATGAATTTGACAAAACTTCATTCATGAAAGTTGTAGACTTGTAGATAATGAAGTCCTCTATCTATCACATTTTGCCGAATTGGATTTGAATCATCGGATCAATAGATATGAATAAAATGGTGGAAGGTCTCATTCTGAAATCGTAACAGGGATAGTTTGATTTTATCGTCTGTTTTGACCTTCTGCCTCTCCTATTCTCGCAATGGTTTCTTCATATGATTTGTATCCCTTGAAGTTGGCTTTCAGATGCAACTTGAATCGTGTTCTTTGGATACTTCTACAAAGAGATATTCTTGAACGATTGACAGAAGGTCATCCTGAACTTCGTTTTCAAGCTATATTCGTCTTCAATTAATCTCGTAGCCAATCCTAGAGCTCTTTTGTCATCAAAACTTCATTGTGAACCTCCCGGTGACCTCCAAATCTCTCAATTCAATCTCGAATGCTTCTCAAATCAACCCATTTGCTCCTCAAGCACCGGTGCCAGACTCTAAATTTTTGATTTTGACTCCAAACAACACAAAACTCGAACCAACGCCTCGTAAACATAATTTGAGCTAAAATTGAGGCTTGTGACACTTAAAAGTTAGGAAAACATCAAAAGTCAATCCCAACATGCATCAAATGCGTGTTGTAATACGGACTTATCAATATTCAATAACTCCGTGTTAGTACCCAATTTTGATAGATTTTGATGATGCCACTATACTTAACACGTGTACATTGTGTCTCAATATTATTCGTGTGTTAGCATTCCAAAATATGTGACAAAATAAAAATGTACAATTTTAGAGTCTAATTAAATATTACCGGAAAAGTTAAAATGCAATAAGGTAATTTTTATTTACCTTAATAGGATATTTAGATCCTACCGGCAAATATTATTTGGCTCAAAGATTAATTAAATGTCACACTTTAATAAAGAAGCTCGAAAAATCAAATACAATGAATGTAAATAATTGGAAGACCAAACTTGATCGGTAGTTAATACCGAATCAAGTACTAAGAGCCACAGCTTGGGATACACACAAGGAAGATGCTTCAACGACCAAAATAATTGAAGACAAAAATAGACCTGTGTTAAATGCAAAAATAGGTACATGGACCTACAGCATGGGACGCACACTTCCAGCGGCTAAAAGATTATTGAAGACAGCCGTATTAAAAGCTCCAGCACAAGAAGATGAATGTACAATTCGTCCTTGCCAATTCTTCAACGAACATGATTAATCCATCCTAACCAACGGATGAGATTAATCAACTCGAGAAGCCTATAAATATAGGCTGAAACGAAATTTTCTAACCAAGCTTGAGCATCCTAAGTAGAGAGATATTTCTATTGAGCATTCACGAAATATCTAGCAAAAGAAAAAGTGCTATTCTACACTTTACTCTCTGCTTAGACTCTTGCTTCACTAAATTTCTTAGTCTCAAGTGTTAATTGCTAAATCCTAGAAGTTTAGTTCCTAGTTGGAGGTTAGAAGTTTCTTGTAAACCAATCAGATATTGTTGTAAACACTTCAGGAGGACAGCTGTTCCCGGCCTGAGTGTGGTTAGATAGGTCAGGAGTACCTTTTGTTCCCCACCGGATCAATTGAGAAAAACCTAAAGGATTGAGTAGCTTGGAGTGGTGTTGTACTCCTCGTGAAACACCTTCAATCTAGGCCAGAGTTGTCAAAGCTAGATTGGCACTAACTGTATTGGGCTTAATACATTAGTAAAATCCATTTGAAATAGGATGGGACTGGATGTAGGAGGATTACACCACCTCTGAACCAGGATATACTGTGTGTTGATTTATTTTCAGTCAACAAAGCACACACTGAAAACTTCTCATAAAAGATTGTAGTCTTAATTGATCCTACTGCTTATCCTACTGCTTAATAACTCACTTTCTTTGAGATACAAGAGCTTTACAATATCACAACTATAAGGTCTGTTCCATTACATTTCAGGAAATCTTACTTAAGGCATAGGAGTTGCCTCAACAGTCTCCTGGTAATTACCCAACTGCTGAGCCCACTACTCACACAAAAGTATTTCCTTTGAGCATCTCAAGTTCACTAGACCTTCATAACTCTATTTCTAAGAAGTCTGTTCAAACTGATCTCTGTAATTCAAAGTGGTAACCCAGCAGGTGCCTCAGCAGTTCCCTCACTATTACCCAACTGCCGAGACAACTGCTTCAGTAAAACTTCAGTTTACTTACACTTGAGAACAACTTCAGAAACCTCTCATCACCCTGAGCAATGTTGTATAATCAATCTTCTCATACCTTCACTTTCACTTAAGCAGGTGCCTCGGCAGTTCCCTGGTTACCACCTAACTGCTGAGACCACTGCTCTGATTAAGTTGATTATAAATCCATCTCATTACATCATCAGATAGCCCTTTTCATTCTGAAATGGATTCTGCTTGCACTTTCTCAATACACTCAACATTTGCTCAGCAGTAGCCTCAGCAGTTCCCTGACATCCAGTCAACTGCCAAGCCAATTGCTCACCTTAGAAAGCCCAAACTTCATCCATCATAGAAAGTGTTATACACTATTTATCTAAGAGGTTAAAGACTTCCGCTGTGCATCTATAAATCTCCCAAAAGATTATAGATCAGCTCTTTAGAGGGAGAAATGTTTTAAAGTTGAAAAAGCTTTAAAAGTGTATTCACCCCCCCCCCCCCCCCTCTAGACAGTTACTGGAGGAATTTTTTGATGAATATTTTTTTGCATCTTCTTCATTAAGTCTAGTTTACCCATACCAAATTTCTGCTAAAAATGCAATCGGGGAGGCAGTAAAATAATTGTTTTAAGATAACAATGCAGTTAAACAGCGCAGTATATTTTAGAAAATCATTTGACTATCTTCTCGGTTGAATTGTTAGCTACAGTTTGATATGAGTAAACTAGACTTAATGAAGAAGATTTTTAAAAAAAATCATCAAAAAATTCCACCGAAAACCTCCCCAAATGGCGACGGCTGGACAAAGGCTTATTTGCATAGTTTCCCTAAAAATTAAGTTAAATATATACACTTTTAAAATCATATCTTTAACGATCAGTCTACGTTTTAAAAGCTAATTGCAAACAACTAAGTTATTAACATTTTATTTCAAACCTTCAATGAAAGCGGTTAGTTAATGGTAATAATACTAATTACCTATCGGTTTAAAAACATTAATAAAATTTTCCCTATATAAAAGTAGTTCAAGATATGTTTATTATTTTTATTTCATTAAAAAGTAATTCATAAGAAATGTATAATTTCAAAGTTGATATAAATGGGAAGCCTATTCAAGAGGTAAACATTATATAATTTATTGGCCAAAGTAATTGGCGTGAGGAGAACACTTTATTAGTCGTTATGTTTTTCAAAATAAATTCAATAATAACACTAATACATAATATAATAAAGTAGAGTCTATATGAATAGAAAAATATACGGAGTAGATATTATTCTTTTTATGAAATTTTGTTTTGAAATGGGGTTTTAAGACTTATTTAAACTTGGTAAATATATTTGAACTCGATAAAAGGTCTGTTCCTATTTTGCATTTGTTGAAATGTTTGTTGATCAATAATTAAAATGTTTAACTATCACCTCTCAAATGATTAATCTTGGAGTGAAAACATACATAATGAAAAATCCACACAATCACATGGCAAGCCAAGCTGAAAAATAAATAGCTCACTTATCATTATCATCGGAGATGCTCTGATGTTGAACTCGAAAAATGAAAGGATTTTTTAAATTTAACTACACTTTGTCTCAAGATTTTGTAAACTTTTTTAGATTTATTTTTTTAAAAAAAATCAGTTTTCTTTTAAAGTAATAGGTTTATGATTCTACTTCTTTTTCTCTATTTTGGAAAAAAGTCAACCCCTCAATTTTACATTCATATTTCACATTTTCACATACCAAGCTAGTCAAGATCTTCATATTTCAATTTATAGAACAGACAAATGAGTCTTAACGAGAGAAAGTTAAAAATAAACTTTCACAGCTATTAATTAGTGATCCAAAAGATGGTGATACTCATAATAATGTTCAAATAACAAATGGCAAACATAAAATCCATTCAAAATCTGACATGCAACACTAGTCTTTGTTTTTGGGGAAAAGGAAAATCACATGAAATGAAGCTTAATACTCCGTAGTTCATATTCTTGGATGCCAAGGGCTAGTCGTTATTAGCTTCAGGGCAACATCCGTTGAATAGCTCTTCCATCGAATCCATCATCCATGGAGGGAACATATCAGCTGTGAATTTACCTAACAGTGATGAAAGTACATCCGGATAACAGCTGCGATAATCTTTTCTCACGATATCACGAGGCCGAAACTCGATTCCTTGAACGAAAATACGCTGATACGACCAATCAACACCAACCGACACTCGCAGATCCTCATCGTCGTCATTTGCTCCGTTGTTGAAGAAGGATTTAATTTCTATCTCTTCGCACCCGTCTTTTGCGACCCTCTTCTTATCTCCAATTATAGGGACATTCTTAAGGGCTTCAATGACTGAATCACTATATTCATAATCCTCCGCCTCATATGCATCTATCTCTTTGTACATCAAATAACACGAGTAATGTATTTCCTTGGATAAAAACATTTTATTTGGCAAATTGAAACAAATGTCAAACACACCAGCATTGAATGCGAGTTCAACAACCTCATTGAACCTATGTACACGAGAATATATACAAACATAAAGTGAGAGAGCAAATATTTAATACAAAATATAAACAAATTAGAATTTCTTACACCCTAAATAAACCCAGTAAAATTTCTAAAACTCCGTCTGAAACTACTAAAATTTTTTTATAAAGAATTATGAAAAAGTACTTGACATATCTTTTATGAATCTTTTACTTATACAGAGAACAGAGAGTAAAGAGGGTGTAAAAGGAATCGACTGAATATTCTTTACAAAAAACTACAATAGTAATAGTAATAGTAATAATAGTAATAGTAATAGTAATAATAGTGATGGAGTATATGGGTCTGAGCCCCAGGACCCACATACTCGGAAGAACAGAGCACAAGACAACAGAGTGGCGCCCTCGGCGGCCAAGACGCCCCCGTCGGCCGAGAAGAAGCCAACCCGGATTATGATCCTGAGTCCAAGGAACCCGGGTGCCCTCGTCGGCCGTGCCCTCGTCGGCCGTGCCCTCGTCGGCCGTGCCCTCGTCGGCCACGAGGACCTCCCAGAATCGGATCCTATACTTACTCATTTGTACAGCCCATTAGAGGCTTTGTATCCGGCCCAGTAGCGGTCCAGTTGTAAATGGGCCTCCCAAGCCTTGGGCTTGGGAGCCCAACCCTAATTTTCTCTATAAATACTCCCCTTGGGAGTAGTTATAGGGGTTACAAATTCATTCTATTGAAGCATATTATTGCACTTCTCTCTCTAGCTCTCACTTCTCTCTAGATATACTCTATCATTTGGTGCTCTCGTTGAGAGCCGGAACAATCAAGTTAGCACCCTTCGTCGCTACCAAGCACAGCTAACCACTGATCATGGGGAGAACCAAGTCAAACCGCAACCTCGTCAGCAAAGTCATCCCTGAGGACCAAGAGCCCAGGGAGCACGATGAGGACGCCACGGCCGACCAGGTCGGCGGAGGGGACCTCTTCCAGGAGGCCTTCAACCTCACAACGGACCTCCGCAACCAACTCAACGGCGGAGTCCCCGACGCCCGCCTCGGCCTGGAAAAGAAACGAGCTGAGAAAGCGGACCACGCCCCGGCCCAGCCTATGGCCGCGGCCTCTCCGTCCGTAGATCCTCAGGTCCAGGCCGCACTATCGGCTATCATCGCCAGCTTGGCTCAGAATCCCACTGTCCTCAGCGCACTCTTGCCAAGGACCGGGGGAAACGCCTTTCCACCTCCTCATCCCCAACCGTTGGCCATCCAGATAGGCAACAATGAGGGGGTTGTGGCCCAGGACACGGCGGCGTCCCACTCCCACCCTGCTTCCCCTCTTCGGCCCGGGCAGACCCCAGCGCGTGGAAAAGCCTCTGCCTTCAATAGGCTAGGTGACACGCGCCGTCGTCCGGTTTCGGAGAGGATGGCGGGACGGATTGGTGATCTTCGTCCTGGCTCGCCAAGGGAAAGTTTGGGGTCTGTGTCCCGGACGGCGGACCAGCCCCGCCCGGACAAGGGCAAGGGGAAGTTGCACGAGGATGACGTGCGTCACCAGATCAACGCGGCTCACAACGAGCGCCTGAGGAACCAGCCGGGCGCCGCTGCGGCCGATAGGGACCCCCGGGACGAGGTCATCGCCCAGCTGGAAAGGAGGTTGGCTCAGATGGAGGCCAAGCAGTCGGCCAACATCCCTACGGCCGGCGCCTCCAACGACCCCGGCCTCAACGCGCTCATGAACAAAGTCAGCGCCCTGGAGAGGGAGCTGGCCGAAGGGCGGGGTGACCCCATCATCCAGGTCAGGACTAGGACCCCTTTCACCAACAGGGTCCTCTCGGCCCCCATCCCTGAGAAATACAGGGGGAACGCCATCAAGTCCTACGATGGCCGATCAGACCCCCAGGAGCACTTCAGCCGCTATCAAAACAACATGCTGATGGTGAATGCGTCAGACGAATACCTCTGCCGTTGGTTCCTCTCTACTCTCGAGGGGCCAGCGTACGAGTGGTTCAACGGACTGCCAAAGGGAAGCATTGACTCATGGCAAGATCTCGCCCAGCGCTTCCTCACTCACTTTGCCGGAAGGAAGCGCGCCAAGAAGTATTTCACCCACCTCCTCTCCGTCAAACAGCAGCACGAGGAGTCCCTCCGGTCATTCATCGACCGGTGGACGAGGGAGACCGAGGAGGTCGAGGGGGCCGATGAGCGCACCCTCCTCGCCTTGTACCAGGGAGCCCTCCGCAGCTCCCCGTACGCCAGGAGCCTCATCACCGACCCCCCGAGGTCGTACGCCAAGGCGCTCCAACGTGGAGGCTTGTATGCCGACGCCGACGAGCTCCACAATCACAAGAGAGAGGGGGGCCATCCCCCCAAGAAGACAAATCCTTCGCCGGCCTCGGGTCCGTCCCCGGCCGGCCAGGGTGCCCAGGGCCGCCGTGGCTCTGGTGGACAAAGTAAGAAAGACCGCCACTGGCGGCCGAGGCTGGAACGGCCGGGGGTAGCCCTCACCCACCCGGTTGGCACCATCCTCGATTATGCCGAGAAGCATGGCCTCATCGAGCAGGCTCCTCGGCCGACCGAGGAGATCCTAGCCATCCAGCAGGGCGGCATGTACTGCCGGTTCCACAAGAACTCGTCGCACAACACCGACGATTGCATCACATTGAAGAAGGCCATCGAGCGCCTTATTCGCCAGGGGGAACTCTCCCAGTTTGTCAAAGGTGGCCCACAGAAAAACACTTGGGTAAACACCGGCAAACGTGGGGGCGAACCCTCTGCGAAGAAGCGCGAGATTGGTAGGCTCAGCGACGACGAGGACTTCGAGGAGCCTCCGCCGAAGAAGAATCACATCCACCTCATCGTAGGCGGGAACACTGGGGGGGACTCCGCCACTCAGAGAAAGAAATGGGCCCAATCCCTTTACATTGGAGAGGTGTCCCACGTTCCCCCCCAGCCGAAGAAGCAGCGAACGGAGGCGATCACCTTCACCGACAAGGATCTGCCTCCGGGTACGGAATCACACAGGGACGCCCTCGTCATCCGATGTGAGATCGGTGACTCCATCATCCACCGTACTTACATCGATACGGGGAGCTCCGTCAACGTGATGTACCTGGACACCTTCAAGCAGCTGAAGCTGGACAGAGCTCTGCTGAAGCCGATCAAGACCCCGTTATCCGGCTTCACCGGGGACTCTATCGACGCCGAGGGCACGATAGTCCTCCCCGTGGAAGTCGGTGACGGCCCCCACCATGCCAAAATTGACATGGAGTTCATGGTGGTCAACCTCCAGTGCGCCCACAATTTGATCTTGGGCCGGCCAGCGCTGGAGGACTTGGAGGCCATCATCTCCATGAAGCACCTATGCTTGAAGTTCCCCACCAATGACGGCATCGGCTACGCCAGAGGAAATCAGAGGATAGCCAGAGCTTGCTACCTCAAGCTGACGAGGCCGGCCGAAAGGGAAGGACAGCGGATAGACACCATCACGGCCGCCGTCGCCACATGCGGAGCCGGCCGAGGAGGTCGAGGAAATCCCTCTGGATACCTCCCGGCCGGAGCGGGTTCTCAGGGTCGGAAAGCAACTCCCCCAGGACCAGCGAGACACCATCCTCCTCGTCCTACGGTCATACGCCGTTGTCTTCGCGTGGGGCCCGGACGATATGCCCGGCATCAGCCGCCAGGTGATCACTCACCGGCTGACCGTCGATCCGGCCTCCGCGCCCGTCAAACAGAAGCGGCGCTACTTGTCCGCTGACAGGCGGGACTTCGTCAAAGGGGAGGTCGCCATGCTCCTATCGATCAAACATATCAAAGAGGTGAAGTACCCAACATGGTTGGCCAACATTGTCCTCGCACAGAAACCGCCGACGTTCAGAATGTGTGTTGACTACACTGACCTGAACAAGGCGTGCCCCATGGACCCGTTCCCTCTCCCCAACATTGATCAGTTGGTGGACGAGACGGCAGGGTGCGAGTTGATGTCGTTCCTCGACGCTTTCAGAGGGTACCACCAGATCTCCATGCACGAAGATGACGCCGAGAAGACGGCATTCATGACCCCAGAGGGAATATTTTGCTACCTCGTCATGGCCTTCGGACTCAAGAACTCCGGCGCCACCTATACTAGGATGGTGGCCAAAATCTTCAGAACGGTCCTGGGCCGGACGATGGAGGCGTACGTCGACGACATGATCGTCAAGAGCAGGCAGGCCACCTCCCACGCCGACGACCTCCGGGAAATCTTTGAAATCATGAAGGAATTCAGGCTCCGCCTTAACCCCAAGAAGTGCGCCTTCGGCGTCCAAGGTGGCAAGTTCCTTGGCTACATGGTCAGCCGGAGAGGCATCGAGATAAACCCGGAGAAGACGCAGGCCATCATCAACATGGAGCCGCCCCGCAACGTCAAGGAGGTACAGCGACTGACGGGGCGCCTGGCGGCCTTAAACCGGTTCCTCTCCAGGTCAGCTGAGAGGGCACTCCCCTTCTTCCAGATCATGCGCAAGGCAACCAGCTTCAGGTGGACAACGGAGTGCCAGGAAGCATTCGACGAATTGAAAAGGTACCTGTCGTCCCCACCCATACTCTCCAAGCCCAAAGCCGGCGAAACCCTCTTCCTGTACTTGGGGGTGAGCACGTCGGCCATCAGCTCCGTGCTCATCCGTGAGGACGAAGGGTGCAGAAGGCCATCTTCTACATCAGCAAGACACTTAGGGAGGTCGAGCTCAGGTACTCCCCCATTGAGAAGACGGTGCTGGCCATCGTCCACACCGTGAAGAAGCTGGGGCACTATTTCCAAGCCCACACCGTCCATGTGCTGACCCAGCAGCCTCTCGGCGCGCTCATGAGGAGCCCCACTAGCTCCTCGAGGATGGTGAAATGGGCGATCTTCCTCAGCCAGTTTCAAATTGAGATCAAACCAAGGCCATCTATCAAAGGACAAGCCTTGGCCGACTTCGTCATCGAATGCACAGCAAGGGAGACGGCCGTCGCCAACCCCGGGCCGGAGCCGGACGACACGTGGACCCTGTTCACTGACG